ATAGTGGCAAGAAGTTGAAGTCGCTCTGGTCTATTAATGAAGATAGCAATTAAGCAAGACAAACTGGTCCGACCCTCGACTTTTTCTGCTCGACCCTCGTACTTTTTGAAACATTAAGTGGCACGATATCCATAGTCGAAAGAGGGTTAATACATAGTTAGATTGAGTTACTAGACATGGTGTCGTCGTTTCACTTTGTTCGCCTAAATGTTTCTTATTATAATTTATTCACCGAACTTAAAAATTATTGTAGTTCTTGTCTATAAAAATCACATTTTCTGCTTTTGAGACATTTTACAGAGTATGCGCAAAAAGTTAGCTATAGATTATAGGGTGGTGGCCTACGCACAATTTTCTTTTTAGTTCAGACAGAGAACTTAACCAAACTTCTTTCTAGCAAGATTCTAAAACCTTATTCAATAGTTTAGAAACCACCAATCACTACAAGAAACTATGACTTTCCTGATCAGATTTTTTCGACCAACCAAAAATTAGTCTACGAAAAATGCCCTTTTACCGACTAATAAAATTTCTTAGTCGAGCATACCTGTTGACCAGTTTTTTCTCGACCAAATAGAACTAGCTAGTCAAAGAAAATCGTCTTTGCCGACTACTGTTTTCCCGACCAACCTAAAATATGCCAGTGAAAAGAACATAAAATATTTTATCAACAAGAAAGGACAACAATTGCAAGATTTTTATACAATTTCTCCTAGAGTATCATGTTATATGTTACAGTGAAAGTGTTATTATTGTTGTTCTTTCTTTTGTTTAGTTGATATATATGTGAAATAAAAGGAGTGTACGATTATGTTGGATAAACTTGCCTTGTTACATGTCCTATGTGATTGGAAAATACTATTTAAATTTGTGAATTTCGTCCATAGAAAATAAATCCCACAAATATAAATAGGATGGGTGGAGGATATATGGTTGATTAAGTGAAGATATCCAACATTACAAAAACAAAAACAAATGTATGATGCATCCTTAAAGTGTACCTTGTCTTAATGTCTAATCACGCCTTTTAAAATTAGTCCAAATTGGATAAAACAAAGCTCCTGATACGGACTTGTTACTTCTTGCTTTGTCACTTGAGTAGCCATGATTATATTTACTTTGTATTTGAATATTTTCCCTCGACTAATCATATCAAATAAAAGTGGAGTTGAAAGGATCTTAAAAAAAACCAATCGCTGAGTTTGTGGCTTGCAATATTAATTGGTGTATATAAATATATGTCTGCCATACTAAAGTTCACGACAAATACATACCGTCGTGTAAACCCTATTTAAAAGATAGATTGATTCGCTTGTGGATAAACTACTAGAGGGCATCAATCAAGTCGAGTTGACATGAATTCTAAAAATATGTTATTTTTATCTATCTTTTGTTCTCTATCTTAATACACAAATAAAAACTCATAAAAAGATTTCAAAAGTCCATATCTTTACTTCAGTACTTCTCACCAATATAAAGAAGAATGGCTGTGAGAAAGGAGAAACAAGGACCTTACAGCACCGAAACCCATCAACTCGCACCGAAACCGTCTATGTAAAATCGTGGACCCATTGACGTTTCGGTTTTAATATGAACCAAATCGTTTTAAAAATAGGGTTTACTTTATGTTTCGATTATTTGAAAATCATTAATTCTCTATTTGTGTTTCATTCTCTCAAAACTCTTTTTTTTTTACATACTCATTTTTAATGACACGTTCACACAATAAAATATTTTACATGTAAATCCAAAATTTTTCTTTATTTTTTAATCATACATTCTCTAAAAATTCACTATTCAAAATAATTTTTTCAAAAAAATTGACCACCAACCAGGGGCTAAGGTTTAAGGCCACAAAAAAAAAATAAAAAATAAAAAATAATAATAATAATAATTTTCTTGGTTAATTTTGAGAATTATAGTATATTAACTAAAGATGCCAGTTTTTATTAAGGGATAAAATCTCACACTTAATAAAGATCAAAACATAGATCAATTTATAAGAATTTGTGCTACTCCTCTTAATAAGGTTGAACTTTTAAGATTGAACACTAAATCTTAACATGATATCAGAGTTTATTAAGTTTCAACGAGGGATTCGATTCGATTAAGACTCAAAAAAATTGAGCACACAAATTTCAATATTGGTTTGCTTAAACGAGCCACCATCTCGTGGGGGCATATTAAGGAATAAAATCTCATATCAAATAAAGATGAAAATATAGACCAATTTATAAGAGTTTAGACTACTGCTCTTAATAAGGTTGACCTTTTAAGAAATATTAACAGTTTAGCCCATGTTACTTCCAAATTAAATATGGATGCATAAATTGTGACTGTACACAATGAGACTTGGCAAACCATAAGATTAAAAAGATTATTCATTATCTTACTCCAACGTGCTCTGCTTCTCTTTATGTCAATTCTGTTGTTAGTGCTTTGTTGACAGTATGGATTTTATTGGTGATATTGACAATTCCAATTCTTTATCTTATTGAACAATTTTAATTTTAATTTTAATTTTTGTGAATAGATACCTAGATTCGTATAGTTAATGTCAAGTATTTGTGAGTCTTTTGCCTTGCATTTTCTCTTTTAAATGGTAACATCACTTATCAACTTGTTCGGTACATAACGATATTTATGAAATCTTAAATTTGTGTAAATTGAAGAAAATTTAAGATTACTAGAGCATTACTTCGAGAATGTTCAAACCGTAGTTTGAAACCAAATCAAACCAAAATTTATGATTATGTTTGGAGTTTTACCAAATTGTTTTACCGGTTTGGTTTGTAAAATGAAAAAAAAAATCGTCCTTATCTGAAATAGGCTCTTTAATAGCATCTTCCTCTTTATATTAGGGAGTTGGTTTCTAATTTAAGAGTGCAATAGATTCTATATATTTAAAATTTTATAATAAAGAGTGACTTTGCTCTCCAAAAGTAGAGAGTCAAATTAACTATATAATGATTTTAGTGTTGTCATTTTATTATTTCATAATTTTTCAAATATTTCTTTCAAAATAAAGAAAAATGACAATGTGAAAAAAAAAATGAAAAATAGAGAAAATAGTGGACCATAACTGTTAAATCGAAAAGTCAAAATAAAGATGAAATATAATAATAATTATTATTAGACTTATACAAAAATCTTTATTTTTAATTATAAAAAAGACGATATTTAGAATAAAGAGCATTGTCAAAGACGCACTAACACGGAAAAAAATACACAATAAGACTGTGTACTGCAGGGTGATTTGGGAATTTTTTTTTCCCCAAAAATGTAGAAAATAATTTTATTTCCCTTTTCTATCCATTACAAACAAGAATAAGTTTAGGGTTTATACACAATAAAGACTGTGTACTGCAATTGAAAGATTAGGGCATGAAAACTGCTTGACGGGATTTTTCAGAAACTAGGGTTTTTCAAACAGCAGAAAGTACAACCCTAATTACTCCCTCTTTAACCCAAAAAATCTCAGGAAAAAAGGAAAAGGTTACAAACCATAAGATATAAGCATAGAGAAGAAGTAAAAAGCCAATTCCACCATAAAATAAGCTGATTGTGATGAATTGATTAATGTGTGAGCAGAACTGAAGGGGATCAGATAATGTGGCCAGTCAGAATGCAGTAAAATTTGTCTATTCCGTAGGTTTATAGACAAAGGTACGATTTAGCCTCCCATAAATTCTTTGAATAATCAAGCAAGGTACAGTCCACACCCCACATAAAGCTCACGGCTTTTGGAAAACCTAAATGGTTACACACAGCCACAGACTACTAATGTGAAAGCCCACCTATAAAATCAAGCACTTATTTTCGTTATTCTTATTCTTGGAATAGTATCTTGTAGTGCATCCGACTAGAATTGGCCGTAAAGATGTGTATGTAGTTATTGTTTGTTTATGACTGTTTGATACAATGTCCGTTAGGGCGCTGTAAGTATAATATCATGAATTTCTTTTGCTTTAATATTGTCCGAAAGTAGAAGAAAATTAATATCTTGCTTATTATATTGTCGAATATAATACGATAATTATCTGGAAAGGTAAGGAGGAAGAAAACAAACAAACCAATACATTATTTTTTTGCGGGGGAAAACCAGACTCCACCTTTCCCCCAATCTCATATATATCTTCCCCATCACACCCAAAAGAATTAAGGTCTTTCTCACTCTTGTTAGATCTTTTTGCTGGACAATGTTAGGTTTTTCAAAATGCCCTTAATTTCTCTATGAACAGACTACTCAATTCCCAAAAAGATGTCAGAAATATATTCTTACCTTTCAAGAATTTTATGATTTTTCTTCTGCAACTATCTTTATCCTTCATGAAAAAGAATAGGATTTACTATTCCAGTCTTTCCCCCAAAATGTTTTCTTCCAGCAAGATTACAAACCTTTTTCCACAGATTTCACCGTCTTTTCAGGCTTCCTCTTCTTTTATTGGTCTAAATGGCACTGATTTTTTTCTTCACCACCCCCAGGATCTGGTTTCTGGGCACCATTTCGTGGCCAATGCTCCCGTGGTACCTGCAACTATCGACTTTCCTGTTTCAAACACGACCACATTAACAAATTATCAAGATTTTGACAGGCTAAATGGACTTCCAAGGAAACAAACAGTTAAAAAGGATAGGCATAGCAAAATATTTACAGCTCAAGGTCCAAGGGATCGAAGAGTAAGGCTTTCCATCAGTATTGCACGTAAGTTCTTTGATCTTCAAGAAATGCTAGGTTTTGACAGACCAAGCAAGACCCTTGATTGGCTGCTTACAAATTCGAAAAAAGCTATTGAAGAGCTTCAGGTTAAGATAAACCATGGAGAAGGCGAAGTAGTTTCAGCAGCTAGTACTGAAGATGATGAAAATGGAGAATCGTTGAGGATAGATTCTAAGAGGAAATCATTGATGGATGATAAACAGGCTGCAATATATCTTGCAAGAGAGTCGAGGGCAAAGGCAAGAGCAAGAGCAAGGGAAAGAACGAAAGAAAAAATGTCAATCAAATGGCTCAATGAAGCCAAGAAACTTTCTAATTTGTGCCCCTCCATTCAAAATCAAACAAGGCCTTGGAATGAGATTGAAATTAGTAAGATATCAGATAATTCTAATAGTGAAAACATTTCCTGCTTGAAGGTGGCTGCTGATGAATTAGCAGCTAAGAATATGATTGAGGAATCCATTGTGATCAAAAGAAAGTTAATGCCTTCTTCTGTTTTCGGCTTCCAAGAAAACTTTATTATTGTTAAAGATTCGAATTCAAACTGCAATTCTTCACCAAATGCTGCTGAAAATTGGGATTTCAGCTCGCAGTCGAGCTCATGTGCCATTTTCGATCAGCATAGGTTCATTAAATGGTAAAATCCATTACAATTGATTCATTTAAATTCTGAGTTTAGATATAAGATAATTTATTTCTTCGTAATTTGATTGTTGTTTGCAGCACTTCAAACATATAGGAACCTTGGTACGCCTGTACTTAAGTGATCATTGTGCGGTTTATCCTACTTAAGTAATGTAAGCTTTACTACCTTTTTATTTCAACAATCTGAATCTTCAATGAATTTACAAAGGCTTTATTATAATTTTCTATGGATTTTCTATGTAACTGTATCGATTTCTATATGCTGATGCAAGGATATCATTACTTATATATACACATTGAGTTGACTATCATTTACTTAATACTATGATTTACACTTCTTAATCATTACAATTAATTATAATTTGAAAAAGAAAAAGAAAAGCTGTGCTTATTTAAGACTAAAAAGGATGCACTAAAGAACCAAAATAAGATGAGAATTATGCATAATTGAATTAAAAATGAGAATTTTCATTGAAGACAGTGATCAAAGCGTTATTTAGAAAACTGCATTAATGTCCATTGACTTGAAAGGATTCCAAAAATTGACATCATAGAAACATTTAGCCTAGCTACGGTACCTCATTTTATCACAGGTTCAAGAGCAGCAAAAAGGCTGAAGTACTAGATATTGAAGCACATATATGGTTTCTTTCTTTCTTTGTTTTTGTTTTTTCAGTGATCTATCATAATGTCTGAATTCATATATCTCAAAAATACTATGTTATTTTCAATAGTTTCACCATCAAGTAGAGAAATATTGATTTTATTATATGTATGTGTGTTGTAGCAGTAGAAGTTTATTCATAACTTATTTGTGCTTAAAACAAAACAATCATTTATTTTAAAATTTACTTATTTGCTTTTGAGTAAAAAAGTTTCAGCTTAATTGTTCAAACATGCACTGAGTTTTGAACTTTTTTTGGTCATTAACATGCACTGAGTTTCAAACTTTTTTTCTCGACCTAATTAACAATAGTATAACGTCAAATTAATGCAATAGTATATATCTTCAAAAGTGATGTTCAAACAAGACTTCAGTATTTGTTTGATTTTGATTGTCAACAGGAATAAATCCCTTATTTTTTTGATTATATACATATGTGCTTTGCATCAGAACATGTCAATGAAATTGAAACCACATAAATTCTGATGTCAACCTAGCTGCATATGAAATTAAGTAAAATTGTTTATATAATTTTTAAATATTTCTCCACGAACATAACTTTCCTTTCTCCTCCTCCTCTTCTTTGCTTATAAGTTATTACCTTTTTTTGAAACTATTATGGGTCACTATTTTTACTTATTCATAAGGTATTTTTCCCAACTGAGGTCTAGTACTGTTTCAACATTCAAATGTATTTTGGAGTTCTTTATCTGAAAAATATATTATTTTTAAAATATGTTTTCTATTTGAGCAATGATTGGTGACTTCAATGTGTCTGTGTAAGGTCAAGAAGCCAGAATATTTGTTTCCTATAAGATTATTGCTAGATATAGAAGTAATTGTTAGTGTAAATCATGTTTATGGTACTTCGAAGAATATTGAGTTTTTTTTTCCTCGGTTAAAATCCTAAGAGGGTGTTTTTAAAGCAGGACCAAACATGTGTATTTTAGAAATCAGTTTTTTGTTCTCTAAATCATGTATATAGGTTATAATTTACGTCAACCTTCTTTTGTGCCATTTTTATCTTGTTGACGTTATAGATCATAGACCGAATTGTTCGTTGGTGCAATTTAACCTATTAGAGTCATCTTTTAGGACAAAACTATGAACAAATTTGCTAATTTCATTTTCTTATTTAATGCTTGTTCAATTTTATTTTTTGATTTTTTTTTCCCAAGAATGTGTGATTAAAAAGTAGAGAAAATTTATGAATCCATATACAAAATTATTCTATTGCGAGAATGTGGTTAAAAATGAGTTTAAGAAATAATGATTTTGAAACAAAACAAAATCAAACAAGAACTACTTGTGTGCTGTTTAATTCATGTTAACTGTCAAAGTCTTGGTATGTATGCTACATGTTATCCCTAATATTAGTTCAGCTAGATGACCTCTTTAGAATGTAAACTAAATGTTTCTGCATGAATCTCGAGAATATAAGAAGGGAAGCTTTGGGATTATTTCGTGCAGATTACTTCTTTTCTTTCCAAAGTATTAGCTTTCCCTTTATTAATTATAAGCAAAGAATACTTCTGCAACTGATCTTATAGCATGTTTTGTTCTGTGACAAAGACGAAAGGATTAATGACAAACTTTTTTTAATATGTTTTGGTGTTGACTGTAAAATGCCGGACAAGTTATATTGTGTACCAAACATGTCTTCACTTAGGGTTGATTTAATACTGCATACCAAACATGTCGTTACTAGTTCTTAAATTTTCCTAAGGAGACTCCTGAAGCAGAAAATTTTCGTACCTGAACTGGAAAATACTCCCCATGTTTGTCCATATGTTCTTTAGACATTCATAAATTAAATTAATCCCGAACCTGCATATCTGAGATGAAATCTTTGTTCTTGCAGCCTAAATAATAATTTGATTCTGTTAATTGAATCCCAACAAGAAACAAAAATTACAAGAAACAAAAATGGAAAAGAGAGAAAAATATAATCAATCCACTTTCCAACATTTGCTGTCAAATTATTTATTTCTTTTAAGGTTTCAAGAAACAGTAACAGTGAATTTACCATAGCGGCAGGCAGCATTTCATAGAAGAAGCCTCATCATTTCTTGTTTAAGTCAAATGACACAGTGCTTGTGAAGCGACATAACCTCAGAAGTGGAGAGGGAGAAGATAAATGGAAATGATTCTGATAGCTTCCTGTAAGCAAGCCTTAATAAAACAACAATGCAATAAAACTAAACCTTATTTCTAATAAATTTAGTGCCTGGGGGAAAAGTTTTCATCCGGAATTTAATAAATTATTGTACTGTTGTTGCCGTCATTTTTTACTTCCTTCTCAATAAAAGCAACACGTCAAGACCCACTTGCGCACTTTGCAACGATATAAAAATTAATTTTAATCTTATAAAAAGTGGAGTCAGACAGGGGCTTAGAGTCTCCTTTGAATATTCGGTAGGAACAATTAGAGAGTACTTAGAAAGAAATAATAGCTAAAATCTTATTGATTAATATGCTATTGAGTCATATTTAATACTATTATATGGAAAGATCACCTAAAATCTTATTATTATTATTTTTTATCTCTTTGGTATCACAGTTAGGTACATGGAGCCTCGAGCCAAAACTTGAGCATATTTTGCGTGATGGCTTTCTAGGATTTTAGTATGGTACTGTACTAGAAAATCTTCTGTGTACTTTGATTTTCCCCTGAATTCACACCTTTTGCGGGTCCATTTTCTTTAAATTTGTAGCTAACATAGATGGACTAATTTAATCCATTGTGATGTTTTGTGCGAAATTTTATCAGAGCATTGTCTAGTTCAACACTTTATAACGCGAACAATGTTTTATAACCATGGCTAGGGTATTGTGATATGAAAAATTAATGTTGATGACATGTTATTTGTTGGGTGTGATATGACTGAGATTAACATCATTAAGCAAAAACTAAAACGAGAATTTGAAATGAAAGAGTTAGGAGAAGCTAAAAGGATACTAGGAATGGAAATTAGAAGAAAT